TTAAGTGACTTGCCCAGGGTCACAGAGCTAGTAAGTTCAAGTGTCTGGTCTGAGTCTATCATACTTTTAATCTTGTTATTAGGAAACACATGCAGGACCAGGGGTTTTTCTCTCTGATTTATGAACTGCATTGCTTCCTCTGTGTTTTTCACAGGCACCGTTGCAAGCACTGAACCAAAGATCTCTTCTTGTGTCACCTTGGAGTTGGGATTGACGTTGCTAAGAATAGTTGGGGGACTATGTACTGTGTCTCCCCTCCAAAAGCTTTCTTTTGTTCTTCAAGTAAATTTGTTACCTTTTTAAAGTGAGGAAGGTTGATCATCCTTTCGTAATCAGGAGACTTTTTTATTTCTTCATCATAGAATTTCTTCACATTTTCCTTAATCTTGTCCACAATCTGACTCTGGAGGGATGGCCCCCAGAGAATGTGGTCTGAAGCAATGACCACAATTCACAGACTTCCCCCAGGTGACATGTCTGTGAACAATATCAAGATGTAACATGGACCCTTCCCTCTAAGCTCCAGACTCGCCAGGGTCTGGTGGTTGGTGGCAGCTTCCATGGCAATCTTCTTGACTCTGGCACTTCCAGGAGAGAGATAAGGTCAAATCTTTTTTCAGAAGTTCTCTGGTTTCCTCAATGTCACCATTAATAACAGAGTATGACTCCTTGTCTAAACACTTAACTGTGGCCAAGAGTGTGGCTGTCCTTTCATTTCATTTTGCTGGCTTGACTAAGATAGCATTTCCTGCTGCCATGGCCCCTAAGAATGGTTGGGTATTTGGGATAAATGGGAAACTCCAAGCCCTAATAAGTAAGAGCACTCCAAAAGGCTCTGAGTAGATATGAGCCTCCTCCATCATTATCAGGAGATTCTTCTTAGCTGGCTCTGAGACAAGTCACCCAGGAAGTGTCTGCGAGTACATGGTCAAATTCTTTGAGAATACTAAGGACTTCTTGACTATACTGAATTTCCTCTTGTGCAGGTCCTGGGCCAGTGCCACCAGGATTTCCTTCTGGCCCTCCTGCCCATCCTCTGTAGGGCCTGTGGTTGCTGGGGGCAGAAGGGAGGTGACCATGAGCAGCCTCTCTGGAAGGGGGTCCAGCCTGCCACACCAGCTGCTCCAGGGAGTTGCCCAGCACTGCAGGAGACCAGAGCTGCACTTTGGTTGCCTCAAGAGGCCAGTGTTAGGGCTAGGCCCGGGATTGGGCCCCCTCTGACCCCTCCCCTCATCCTTACCCCTCATTCAGCAGCCAGGAAAATATTTGAAGTTGTATTTCGAATAACCAGGGCCTCTTTGTTGCCTTTCACAGATCAAAGGTTGATTGAGGATTCCAGAATTCCATTTTGAACAAGATACACAATCTGTTCAATTGTTCCCCAGCTTGCATAGTTTGTGATAGCTCATACAGCTTTTCTTTGGGACTTCAAGTCTTCCTTTGACAGAATTCTAACCAAGTTAGTCCATGATTCCTAATTTGCTTTATTTAGTCTTGATGGCGGGCTGTGATGCTTGACCTCTTTTGCGTGGTTGACCACACGACCTCTTTCTGGATATTGGTTTGGGAGTGTGCAAGCCGGCTAGGAAAAACAGCAAGAAGTCCTGAGTCTATTATAATCGGAATTTCTTTTGTAATTTTTTAAATCTTAAACTTAAATATAAAATGAGAAAAGAAAAAAAAACTGCCATGTACACAGAAGACCATCAGAGAGGATTTAATATAAAACAATAATTTTGCATTTCAAGAAAACCTATGTAATAAATACCATACATTGTTTTCAAAGCTGCTCAGCTTTGCTTTCTTATTGGTTTTCTTTGTTCTGTGCTGTGCACTTTTTACTTTGTTTTAAAATTATATTTATTATATTTTTATTATAATCTTAATTTGTTCATCTGTCCTAGTGATGATGTTTCCTATAGTCCTTAAGTTAGGCCAGCTAGGTGTCAGAGTGAATAGAGTGCCTGGTCTGGAGTCAGGAATGATCTTCCTGAGTTCAAATCTGTCCTCAGACATTTACTAGCTGTGTGACCTTGGGCAAGTCACTTAACCCTATTTGCCTCAGTTCCCTCATCTGTCAAATGATCTGGAGAAGGAAATGGCAAACCACTTCAATATTCATTAAGAAAACACCAAATTGGGTCATGGAGTCGGACACAACTGAAATGACTGAACAGCATAACCCTTAAGAAAGGAGTTTTTATTGGCAATTCCACTGATTCTTGAAGTTTCCCTAGCTGAGACAGCTCCGGTTGTTTCTGGGCATACTTGCTCAGTAAATCCTTGTTTTGTTAAAGGGATGACATACTTAATATTGTTGATTGATACTTATTTGATCAATACTTGTTGATTGATGGATGAGGATCGATTGTGAATAGAACAATAACCCAATGTGCCTCCCTGGGCTCTCCACTGAGATGCCAGGTTCTGACTGTACCTTGCTCAGGAACAGAGGAAGGACCTTTTCAGTTGATGGCACAAGATTATTTCTGTTCTTGGCTACCAGTACATCTCCACTGAGCTACACAGGCATCATTTCTGTCTCCATCTTCTAAACTATACCTGAATCTTAAGGCAGATTCATTGTATTATTTCATGCTTAGAAAAGCAATATTGAAATCCATTCGAAGGGATTTGAGTTGCTGTGAAGGTTATTGCAACATTTTTCAGGATAATGCCAGTCTGAGTCTCTGGGCTATGTGGCCACAGTGTGGATTCTCAGAAGCTTGGGAGAGGGGAGAATGTGTCTCTCTTTCTGGATAAGCAAATAATTAATTTAGACCAAAGGCAGTAGTGTTCTGCATTTCTTCTTGGGTGGTGAAACAATGATTCCAACATTATAATAATAGCTTGCATTTTTCTAGGACTTCAAAGTTTGAAAAGCACTTTCCCTATGTTACCTCATCTGATCCTCACAATAACCCTAGGAGACAGGGGCTATTATTATTCCCATTTTACAGATCAGGAAACTGAGGCAAACAAGTTAAAGTGACTTGCCCAGTGTCACACAACTAGGAAAGTGTCCGGGGCAGGATACAAAACCGGCTTGTCTTGTTTCCAAGTTCAGTACTCTATTCATTGTGCCATCTAGCTCAGGGAGAGCACTCCAGTTGATCTTGGATCAAGTGCTATTCCAACAGTGAATTTTATGTCTGGACAGAGGGGCAGAATTGGATATAGAAAAGTATATGTCCCATTTCCCTTCTTCATACCCTTGCCTAGGGTCCCCCCAACTCTGAAATGTATCCCTCACCTCCATCTCTTACAATCCCAAGCTTCTTTCAAAACTCAGTTCCAGTTCTAACCCACGACACAAGCATTTCTTGAATCTTCCAATTGCTGGTGACTCCTCTCCACTAGCATTCCCTTGTGTTTATTATAATTAATTAATTAACATTTTAATTTAAAATTAATTAAATTTTAGATTTTTAGATTTTTTTAGATTTTAGATTTAGATTTTTTAGATTTTAGATTTTAAATTTTTTAGATTAGATTTTAGATTTTTAGTTATAATTTAATTAATTTTAAATGAAAAATTTTTAAATAAAACATTTAATTAATTAATTAAAATAAACACAAGGGAATGCTAGTGGAGAGGAGTCACCAGCAATTTTTATATGCACATAGAATGCAAATTCCTTGAAGATAGAGACTTCACTTTGTATTCCTAGCATCCAGTGCCTGACACATAGTAGGCCCTTGGTTAATACTTGTTGGTTGATTGGAGTGTGAGCTAAGATGGTGGACAGGAGATTTCATTCCTCTCTAGGAGGACAAAACGGGGTTTGAAGCTGAACTATGTCAGGTCTAATATGGGAATTTTCTGCAAATGGGACATCAGAAATAATTAAGAGCAATGCAAAAAAACAAAATTTAAGTAACTACAAGGTCCTTCCAGCTGAGACGATTCAAATGAGGCAATCTAATTCTTATGCTCTTTCAAGTCCTATTACTGTTTGGGCCCTGCGATAAAATGTTCTTCCAGTTCTAAAATTCTCTAACCAAATTGAGTGCCAAGTGGGATTATTTCTAGCCAATCCATAGAGGAAGGCTGGGAGAGAAGTTTTAGCAAATTAAACTCATTTCCTCTAAATACCTTAAAAACTTGAAAGAATTTAAAAATCTTGATCAACCACCACCTTTATGTTACCTAGACCAATAGAGTCCTAGAATATTAGAACCAGAAAAGAGCTCGGTAATTAATCAGTCATGAAGTATTAATTAAGTACGTACTATGGGCCAGACACCATGTCAGATGCCAACGATAGAAAGACATAAATAAAACCGTCCCTGCTTTCAAGGACCTCTCATTCAAATGAAGGAAACAGCCTACATATATACCTAGGTACCTCAAAGATGGCCATTATGAAGTGGGACAGAGGGTCTGTGTGGAAAGAATTGGAGAGAAAAGGTCTGAATGTGGTCTTTGAACCCTCAGCAGCCCCAAATGAAACAAAGCTGTTTTTTTGTGCACACAGCTATTTATTAAAAGGGAACAGAAGAGCTCATGACCTATTCTTAGCCTGTTGGAAAACAGACTGTACTTTGCACTGGATGGATACATATCCTTCTGGCAAGAGTTGGGAGGCTACGTCGGAGTTACAAGGGTCAGAGTAAGTGAAACTAGAGAAGGAAGATCCCACAGAGCTGGGGCAAGCAGCCCATATGCTAAGAAAACTTGTTTTTCTCCCTACCCCTTCATCTCCCACCTCTTAAAGTCACAGAGATCCTCCATCATTTGGGGGTGGTGTCCCTCCTCCTGTTCCTGTCTTCAGTCTGCCCAAGGACAGGGAGGAGGGAGGGAAGGGGGGAACACATGAGCATTGAAAAGTTAACGCTTCAAAAATCAGTTGGCTCCATTGCTGATACATTGCTGATAAAAACTGGTGGGGAAGGGCCGAAGAGGGAAGAGTCTTTCCAGTTCCTCATGGGAGTTTTCCGTTGGGATAGAGATGAAAAAGGAAAATGCCTGTGGCTGGTGTGGGGACTTAGTCTTGCTTCTAGGGTCGGTATTTGCATACGAAGCGTCAGCGCTTGCTGCAATCATTTTTATTCCAGGTTAAGAAATCTGCAAAAATATAGAAACATGCCTTTTTTTCCTCTACTTTAAACCCACTGTTAAATCCCCGGTAAGGGCAACCAGCATCCCCTTGGTCTTTCTTTTTTAGTATGTTTTTTTTTTTTTTTAGTCAGTTAGAGAACTAGAGACAACTGATAGGGACAGTGATTCCTACCTCCGAAAGATGAACCCATATTTCATCAAGAGTAGAGAGAAAAATCTCAAAAATATCACTTCTGCTCTCTATGGATTACTGAGTGACCACAAAGCTCTGTCTCTTGTCCAACTCAGTGGAAGCATCTCACATTTTTTTGGGGAGCATACCACTGGTCCACAAGGAGAGATGCTGAGTTTGGGTCTCCAACTACATTTAAATACTGACTGAAATAAGCAGTCAATTAGACTTTAGCTTATGCTACTACTTCTCCCCTCTAACCAAAAAAAAAAAAAAGATGAGTTCTTTTGATGTCATTAATATAACCTAAGTTATTAAAAAAATCCCATAATACTGAAAGATGATCCACCTAGTAATTTTAGGTAGTGAGCTCAGTGATGTTTTAGTTTGGTGGGAAACAGAAGAAAAGGACTCTCAATTCCCTTCAAAGAAGTCTTTTCTGATCACTACGATGACTTGTGGATCCAGGGGACAGTGAAATAAGACTCTCCAGGTTTACAGAACATTTGTGGACCGTTAGCACCTTACCCATATCACCACTGTTCTGCTGTCTATACAGCCACCACCACTGGTAGGCAAAAACTTGAGGGTATGCACATGTTTTCCAATTTAAGGGAAGATGTGTGGAGGGTTGAAATCTTTTATGTTGATCCACAGGAAAGATTTAGGTGTTTAGTATTGTAGGAAAAGGAGGTCACAATAGTGTAGTGAGATAGACAGTCTTTTAGTAGTGGCAAAGAACTGGAAAGTAAGGGGATGCCCATCAATTGGGGAATGGTTGAACACATTTTGGGATATGGAAATAATGGAATACAATGATGTTGGACAGTTTCAGAGTAACCCAGGAAGACTTCTATGAAATGATGTAGGGTAAAGTGATCAGAACCAGGAGAATAATTTATAAAATAATAACAACACCATAAAGACAAATGATTTTGAAAGACTTAGGAATTCTGATCAATGCAATGACCAACCAGAATTCCAGAGGATTGGTGATGAAATATACTACCCTCCTTCGATAGAAAGGACAGAAAAGACTCAGAGCATAGAATGAAACATAGATTTATAAACATAGCCAAAGCAGGAATTTATTTTGCTTGACTACGCCCATCTGCTATAAAGGGTTTTTGTTTGTTTGTTTGGGGACTGGAAGGAGAGGGAGAGAAAATAAACACCTGTTAATTGAAAAAAAAATTAGTTAAAGTGAACTACCGCGCTTTAAAAAAGAGAAAGAACACTGTGCTTATCTCAGAAAATTCGTGTGTGAGTCCTGACTGTTTCTCACTTGCTGTGTGACCCCGAGAGAATCATTCATTTGCTTTATAGAGTTTTAATTTCCTTGTCCCTAAAATAATGGAGTTAGACGAAATAACTTCTTTAGGCTCCTTCCATCTCTGTGAGTTGATTCAATCTCTTCAATCAATGGGTGGAAATTAGAAGGCACAGATTTCAGCTCAATAAAAAAAGAATTAAAAAAAAACAGTTTTAGAAGGGTCCAACAATAAAACAGACCTCCTGAGGGGAGTAGTTAATCCCCCATTACTGAAGTTGTTCAAGTAGAAAGAAGTTAGATGAGTCTCTCAGGAATACTTTAGTTGAGATTCCTTTTGTGGGAAAGAGGTTGGACCTTCTAACTCTCTGATTCTCTGATTCTATTATAGCTAAAAATACTTAGAGACTCATGGGATACAATAGGAGCTAGACCTGTGATTTCAGAGGTATAAAAAAAATTCCCCTGGGAGTGACAAAACTCCTTCTGCTAATGCATAGAGGCAATTCCTTCCAATTTCTAGTTGACTTAGAGAGTTGCCTAAAGCAGAGGTGTCGAATATGGCCCATAAAACTTCCAAGGGCAGCTCAAAATAGATTGAAAAGTAATTAAGAAATATTAACAAAATAAAAATGCAATAGGAACATAGACAATATTTTATTTTAAATACATGATTAATGTGTTGCTGCAGGGATAATTATGGATGGATTAGTGGCCCTTGTTTCTCTTTGACTTTGACACTGTAGGACTGAGAGCTGAGAGGTGGTGATTCACCAGGTTACACAGGCGGTAGGTATATGCCAGAAGCAAAACTTGGCTATTCATGACTTTGAGGCCAGATGTCTACCCACTACACCATCTAAACCTCACTGAGTTTAAGAGAGGAAGCATGATATAGTAGAAAAGAGTTATCTTCAAAGCCAGAAAGACCTGGGTTCAAGTTTTACCTCTGATCTATACAGACTGTGACCTGAGATAAATCATTGAACCTCTTCAAGCAACCTCTTAGACTTTGAAGTTGCAGAGAAGTAACTCAACTGCATTGATAAGGGGGAGTTCTCTATACTAACGGCATCATAGGTTCAGTCTCTAACTCTGTTTAGGGAGATGGGGTGGGAACAATGGAATCTCAGTGTTGTTGATATCAGAGGACTGATGCGTGGGTGTGTGTTAGAGACTGTGTGTTTGTGTGCGCCCAACTGCAAGGGTTTTGGAATACTTCCCACTGTTCATTTTTAGTGAGGAAAGTACTTTTAGTTTTGTCGTTCAATCACTTCAGTCATGTCTGACTCTTCCTGACCCCATTTCAGGTTTTTTTGGCAGAGATACTGGAGTGGTTTGCCATTTCCTTCTCCATCTCATTTTATAGATGAGGAAACTGAGGCAAACAGGGTTAAGCGACCTGCCCAGGGTCATATAGCTAGTAAATGTCTAAGGCCAGATTTGAACTCATGAGGATGAGTCTTTCTGATTCCAAGTTTAGCAGTCTATCTATATCGCCTAGCTGCCCCAAAGGAAGAACTAACATCTGGATGATGTATCCATACTTACTACTGTGATAAGCCATTTCCCCACAGGCCTTATTTCCCTGGTAAGACTTATTAGACCAGGCTCTGAAGAGAAACAAACTTCCATCAATCCATTTCCAATTGCTCTGCAGACAACAAGTACAAAGAAAGAAACATTCACATGAGAATACTCTCCTCCCTCTGTCTTCAGACATCTTGTCCTTCTCTCCCATCTCAGAATGAAGTGATTTGCATCTTTGCCAAGACTCATCCTTCCATCTGTGTCCTTAAGCCGCATCCTTGCCTGCCTCCTCAGGGACCTTACTCTATAAATCAATACCCTTCTTGCATTTTCATCCTCTTTCTTTCTTCTGATTCCTTCCACTATTCTCAGGTCTTCCCTAGGCAGCTAAAGGATGTGGTTTGCCATTCCCTTCTCCAGTTCATTTTACAGATGAGGAAACTGAGGCAAACAGGGCTAAGTGACTTGCCCACGGTCACATAGCTGGTAAGTGTCTGAGGCTGAATTTGAACTCAGGCCTTCCTGACTCCAAGAACAGTGCTGGTGGATAGTCTGCTGGGCTTGAGTCACCAAGACCTGGATTCAAATCTAGCCTGGTATACTTATTAGTTGAGTGACTCTGGGCAAGTGACTTAACCTTGTCTGCCTCAGTTTTCTCAACTATAAAACATGGATAATAATAGCTCCAGCCTGCCGGGGGTGTTGTGAGGAGAAATACAATAATATTTGTAAAGCATCCTCCCACCTTCATCTCCCAGATCTCAGTCCCGACCATTCACATCTGTAACCCGTGGTTCAAAGGCTACACGTCAACTTCTTCCCGGGGTCTCGCTCCCTTCAGGGACCTGAAGAGAGTCTAGATCTGGAAGCTAAAAGTCAGAAGACCAGGATCTCCTTTCTCTCAAACTCTTAGCAGCTCCAGCCCTCAGGCAAATGGGCAACATGGAGTAATCAATCTCCAGCAATGAAAAGAGTCTTATGCAAGTGACTACGAGTTACACATGCAATTTCTACGGTGGAGCATTGAACCAGGAGCATTGAATTTTCAAAGAAAAGCTGTGTTATTGACTACATCCCATCTGGAACTCAAGCATAAGCAGCATCTCGTAAGACTTTACCTAGCTCATCTCTCCCTCTTTTTTTCTTTTCTTGTCTTTTTAAAGAAGAGGCTGGATCGTATCTTTCTCCCCACTTCAATCGCAAGCAGCACCTCCTCTAAGAGGCTGTTAACCTTCCATCTACTCTGAATTAGGCTGTGAGCTCCTTAGGGGCAGGGGCTGTCTTTTGCCTCATTGTATGACCTGTTCTTAGCACAGTGCCTGGCACATAGGAGGCTCTCGATAAAGTATTAATTGATTGACTCCCTGTTGGAGCAGCTTGGTTGCACAGTGGATATAGCACGGGGCTTGAAATCAGGAACATCTGATTTTGAATCCTACACGATCAACCTGTGTCTCGTTGTTATGTGTTGTGGTGCTCTGATTTAGCCGTGCTGTTTCCCCCTACGAGAATGTAAGATCCTTGAAGGCAGACCCTTTTTGCTTTTTCTTTGTATACTTAGTCCTTAGTAGAGTTTCTAGGATATAGTAAGTCAATGAAAAAGGAGAGTGAAATCTTTATGTATGTCTGTGTAGGCAAGCTTTTGTGTGGATGTATGTGTCATGGAAACCTTGACCTTCAAGAAGTAATGAGGCCCTTAACTCAGAAGCATCATGTCTTGTCACCAACCCTCCTCTGAAGCACTGAATTGTGCTGGACTGTAGCAGAACCCTACCCCTGGGGCCAATTCAATTCAAACAATAAATAACTATTAAGTATCGGGACAGCTAGGTGGGACGGTGTATAGAGTGCAGGGCCTGGAGTCAAGAATATTCCTCTTCCTGAGTTCAAATCTGGCCCGAGCTGTGTGACTTGCCCAGGCAAGTCACTTAACCTGTTTGCCTCAGCTCCTCATCTGTCAAGAGCTGGAGAAGGAAATGGCAAACCATGCCAGGATCTTTGCCAATAAAACCCCAAACGGGGTCATGAAGAGTCGGACAGGACTGAGCACCAAGTAAGCACTTTTTAGGTACCAGACCCTGAGATAAACCCTGAGACTACAGAGACAAAACTAAAATAATCCCTGCACTCAAAGAGTTTACAGTCTACTTACAACCTACCGTTCTTGCCCAGAGTTTAATGAGCTCCTCATACGTGGACATTGGCAACCAACTCATTATACTCTATGTGAAATATTGCATTACTAGGAGTGTGCATGTTAAATTTTCAATGAACCTTTACACCCCAGAATCGGCAGATGGCTCAGGGATGGTTTTATTGTTTCTTTGATTGTCTACTCAAGAGTGCAGATTTAACTTAAAAGTACCTTGTGGGTGCTTTTATTTATTTATTTTTTTGACTTCTCAAGGGCTGATGGCTAATGTTTACCAAAATACCCCTGCAAACTTTCCAAGGTAAATGATGGTTATTCACCTTCTCATCGAGAAAGCAGGCCAATTCCCAGATGGAGGATTTAAGCTATTTCTAAAAAGGCAGTGAAAAATCACCTCCAAAGATTACGTTTTGGGCATAATTGAGACCAATCCAGATGGGCTGGTTTCGCTGATAGCTCCAGATGTACTTGGCTATGACTTTGGCTTCCTTTTTTGATCCAGCAGAGAGGCCAGGTGGGCCCCATTCCCAAAGGCCTGACACTCCAGCTGCATACAAGGGGAACTTCCGTCAGTCATCACTGTAATCCCAGGCTCCTAGCCAGGTTGCTGTGTCCCAGTAGTTTTAACTCATACATAAACCCTCAGTCAGGAAATTTAGGATTTACCAGAATCATTAGCAAAAAATGACTTTGCACCCGAGAGAAGATAAAGGTGCTACCTCAGGGAATGCTATCAGAGTGGACTTGGACCTACCAGGAGAATAGAACTCTTAACCATGGTTAAGAGTTACAATGTGGGCTGCCATATCTTCAGGTGCCTTTAAGAAATGTATATCTAGGACAAATATTTGTTCGCTATTCTGTTTTTCCTCAGTAGTGGTGGACTTTGAACTTGATATAGAGATCATTTCCCCAATTTAGCCACAGCTAGGGCTGATGTGTAATTTGTATCTGTGTTACTGCTTCAAAAACCCCTTTGGGCAATTAAACTCATATCCCCTATAATCCTGGGCATTTTTTGCCTTTATCCTAGATCTCACTCCTACAAAGCCGTGCTTTGTACAAATGGACAAAGCATGTCCATTGGAGCTCAGCCAACAGCTTTGTCTTGGCCAAGTCAGATAATTCTCATCACCAGGGAGCTGACCACTTGGCAATGAATACTTTTGGCCATAGTAATACATTACCATTTGCTAACATGTAGATAGTTGGTGTCTATGGTGGTGGAAGAAGTAGCCACACTAAAGATACAATGTTTTTTTTTTTGAAATCCTGAATAACAGATCTTTTATGAAATTCCATGTGCCCTAAGGACTATGCAGAATATAGAAAACAATTGATTTCTCTTCTTTGGGCACATGCACATATCCCAGTTGATCAGTTTGATTCATATCTGTGATTTCATTGTTGAAGAGCTGAAACTCCTTTTATTGATGTAATTCACCTATAGAACTCATAACTGCAGAGAGTTACCTAGGGGCACTAGAACACCCCCAAGGGGTGTGTGTGTGACTAGACCAAGGTCACACAGTCAGTCTGGGTTGGAGGGATGTCAACCCAGTAGGGATGGGAAAATTTTTTAAAATGAAATTCTGAAGACATGTAGAGAAACAATTCTGATGAAGGGGTGTTGTTTCAAGAGACTAGTGTGTATATACCAAGGGCAAGCTCAAGTTGAAAACTGTGGCATGGCCCAGTAAGAACAGTATGAGTAGTTAAAAAGACTCAAAATAACTTGAGGTGTTAAAGAGGTGTGAAAGATTAAAAACAAAAAAGGTCTTTTTAAAAATTATTTGGAAAAGGTGAAGTCTCAAAGAAAGGACAAGACCCCTATTTGGTGTAGATGGGATAATGATAATGGATGACAGAGATGCTTAATTATTATTTTGCTTTTGTTTTCTTTGCAAAGGTGAACTATTTTTAGACTGGAAAGGATAAAATAAGAAAATAGTAAGAGAACACCTGTCTGCCTTTTTGGGCAAGCTAGGTGGCGCTACAGTGGATGGAGCTCCAAGCCTGGGGTTAGGAAGGTCTGAGTTCAAATCCAGCCTCAGACACTTACTATGTGACCTTAGACAAGTCACTTAACTCTGCCTCAGTTTCCTCATCTGTAAAATGAGCTGGAGAAGAGAATGGCAAACCACTCCATTATCTTTGCCAAGAAAACTCCAAATGGGGTCATGAAGAGTCAGACAAGGCTGAAAATGACTGAACAACAACAACAAACTTAGCTGCCTTTAATGATTTCAAGTCAGGAGGCTCAGATGAATTATATCCCAAAGCATTGAAAGGCCTGATGTATGTGCTCTCTGAGCCACCGTGAACCAGCTGTGAAAAATCAAAGAATGGTGGAGACAGGCCTCTGAACTGGAGAATGCCAAACTTTGTCCTGATTAAAAAAAAATGGACTAGAAAGGAGTCTGTAAACTGTAAGCCGGTGAACTTGACTTCAATTCCTAGTGAAATTGTTAAAGATAAGAATAGTGAACATTGCAAGGAGCCAACATGGCTTCCTAAAGAACAGGTCTTATTGGACTAACCCCATTTTCTTTTTTAGAAGTGGGAGATCAAGAGAATACTGTGACACAATTTTCTTAGATTTTAGTAAAGCTTTTGGAAAAGTTGCACAGTTTTGTGTCCATGATGGAGAGAGATGGATTACGGTGGCAGTAGTAATACTATTGAGTCGATTCAAACTGGCTTAATGCCCTGGCCCAAAGAGTTTCAATGTCAGTTTTGGGCAATGTCTCCAGTAGAGTGTCTAAGGACCTAGACGTGGCCTTGCACTAATTAACATTTTTTATTAGCGACTTAAATAAAGGCTTAGGAGGCATGCTTATCAAGTTTGTAGATGACACAGAGCTGAAAGGAATAGTCAACAGGAATGATGACAAGTTCAAGACCCAAAAAAGACCGTGATAGGCTAAAACAGTGGGCTGATGAAATTTAATAGGAATAAATATGAAGTCTTAACCTTGAGCTGAAAAATCAACACTACAAATAAATAATAGAAGTCTGACTAGATAGCAAGTTTTCTGAAGAAGGGCTGGGAATTTTAGCCTGGTACAAGTTTAGTGTAAAGTAGCAATGTGATATGACAGGCAAAAAAGTTAATGTGAACTTTAGCTGTATCAGAAGGTGTAATTCCAGAACTAGGGAGGTAACAGACAATCTTACTATACCCTGCCTCATCAGACTACATCTGGAATATTGTGTTCAATTCTTGGTAATGCATTTTAAGAAGAACTATTGGTAAGCTAAAGACAGTCCAGAGGAAGGAGCACCAGGATGGTGAAGGACATTCAAGATCATGGCATATGAGAATGGCATATAAGAAAAAAATTGGGAATATTAAGCCTGAAGAGAAGACTTGGACAAAACTAAAAACAATGGAAACTGGGAATTACAATGCTGGAGATGTGGCCTTAGAGTGAGGAAAGACTCCTAACAACTAGAGCTATTCCAAAGTGGGATGGTCTGTCTTAGAAATCAGGGGATTTCTCTCATCACCAGACATTTTCAAGCAAAGGTTGGATGATGACTTGGGTATGTCGTAGTAGGGACGAGTATTTAGGTGATTGCGCTAAATCACCTCTGAACTCTCTTCCAGCTCTGATAGTTTGCGATCCTCACTTTCTTTTGCAAACACTGCCCTCTGACCACCTAACTATTGAAACACACATAATCAATGTTGCATTTTTTTCTCAAGGTCCTTTGAGGGGCCTGATGCTTGAGGCGAATTGACTGGAGCCGTCCCAAAGGGCGCTGGAGAAGCTGATGTTAATTGACACAAATTTCTTACCTCAGCATCAGACCAACTTTGATGTTTTCGAAAATATCTGTAACAATTGGATCTGTAGTAAAACCACCCTGTGCTGCAGCTGGGTCTCAAGATAATATCTTCACGTAAACAAAAGATTGTCATTAGTCATCCTGAAAGTAAGACATGGAGGCTGGGGTCTCTCATTTCTTCCTGATTATCCCCATCCCCATCCCTCTGGACAGCTCTAAATATTAAATATTCATAAATAAATATAAGGCAGCTCGGTGGTGCAGTGAATAGAGCGCTGGCCCTGGAGTCAGGAGGACCTGAGTTCAAATCTAGTCTCAAACATTTACTAGCTGTATGACTTGGGCAAGTCATTTCACCTGGTTTGCATCAGTTTCCCCATCTGTAAAATGAGCTGATGAAGGGCATGGCAAACCACTCCACTATCTTTGCCAAGAAAACCCCAAATGGGGTCATGGAAGATCAGACACGACTGAAATAACTCAACAACCACTATAAATATTAAATATACAAATGTATTAAATAAATATACATATCCGGCTTATTAAATAAAATACACAAATATTAAATAAAAATTGAAATGCAATCTACTTTTCTTTAACTTCTATTCATTGCTTTTGGCAAGTCACCCTGAGACCAATGCCAATTTAATTTATTATCTGGCATATCACACTATTTAATTATATATCAGTCATATCACACTATTGGCTCATATTAAGTTTGAAGCTTTTTTTTTTTTTAAGGCAATTGGGGTTAAGTGACTTGCCCATGGTCACACAGCTAGTGAGAAGTTTGAAACTTCTTAAAAGGCCCAGATCATTTTTGCATGAACTGTTTTTGAATGTGTGTTGAACTTTACATTTATCCCTATTACTTTTAGCCTAAAAATTGGACATATTTTATGTTGATTTTGATCAATGCAATTTCTTTTATAAGTTTAATTGATATACAACGAGTTTCTGACTAATGAGAATAATGATGGGAGTCTGAGGAAAACTGTGATTTTCTACAGACTCAGATGTCATTCTTGTTTGTTTCCACCAACAAAAAAATGAAAAAAAAATTCATTTTTGGGCCTTGGCTGTTTATAAGGGGAATTGGGGCATCCCAGATCCTGGAGCTCTCAGATTATCTGGCTAGAGACAAGGGGCCATAGAAGAGAAGCCCTCAGATTGTAACCAGGACCTTGACATCAGGAAAGGCATCTGACATGGGGCCTACATGGCCAATGGTGGAAATGATGAATTTAGCACAATTGCCGAAGAAAAGTGTCACAGAGATCATGGAAGGTCTCAAGCAGATTATGACTAGGTAGCAAAGGGGTGGCATAACATAGTAGAAAGAACACTGGATTTGGAGTCTGTGTCTTGGTTTAAGTAAGTCCTAACTCTGTTTTTACTTGGGTGACCTTTCACTTCCTTTCCACAAGTCTCAGTTTTTTAATATGTAAAATAGGAATAATACTTGTACCACTTATCTCACAGGGTTATTGAGAAGAAAGTATCTTATGAACACTAAATCATTATACAATGAAAATTATTAATTACAAAATCTAATTTTAGATTATGAAAAGATTTACAGGAAGTGATGCAATGTACAATCAGTAGAATCAGAACACACACACATTACAAAGGTAAAGGGATTTCAGACAGACTTGGGGGGAGTATCACAAAATAAAATAATTTTTTGTTATTTTGGTTTTATTTTATTAAAATGTCTAAGTTTCTACACATAATTCCCCCTTTTATTTTCAACATATGCTTTTGTTGATGGTTGTAAAGTTTATAATAAAATAATCTAACCATTTAGGATATGGTCCTTGGATATATTCATACAATTATGGTCTGTCAGATTCAGGAAGTAGTCCTTCCCCTACACTCATGTCAGTCTTTTTTTTTTTTTTTTTTTTTTGCAAGGCAATTAGGGTTCAATGACTTGCCCAGGGTCACACAGCTAGTAAGTGTCAAGTGTTTGGTCTGAGGCCAGATTTGAACCCAGGTCCTCCTGACTTCAGGGCCGGTGCTCTATCCACTGTGCCACCTAGCTGCCCCTAATTTCATGTCAGTCTTGACCTTCATCTTTGAGTCCCAACAATGGAGAGATGGTGATTGATAAGTTGAAGTCCTTCAGGTTACTAAATCTGGAGATGAGAAGGTAAAGGGGCTCTTAACACTAGAAGGACGAAGCTGCATCAATGGACACAATGAATTATTATTGTTTTATTTAATCCACAGGGTAAAGAAAACAGCTAGTTGGATGAAATTTTTTATTTCAAAGTAAAATTATATTTCTGTATCAATTGATGCATCTGATTCGCGCAGCATCAACAAGTTGTCAAGTATGAGTGGGGCATTTTTAGGGCTTTGAAGGAGTGTGTGAACCATTCATTTTTATAAAAGATGGCCTACAAATGAGTCTGAATTTCAACAAGAAGAAATTTGTTCAGGGTTGATGAATTTCTTTTGGTTTAACCCACTGAGGTGATTTGATGCTGAGACAGGCATTTATCACTGTCCTTAGAGACTATTAAAGGACTATTATAAAGAAACCATCGCTTCACAGTTAGTATGCATGGTACAATGATTCCAATGTTCCTTTGGAGTCTCAGGCGCCTGTGTGTGGCCCTCCACAGACAAAAAATTTAGGTGGGGTCATTCGTCTTGATGCTCCCTGATTCCCAAATAGGACGTACAGAAACTCCAACATGAACGTAGGATCACAGAGTTCAGAGTAGATCCTATATTTAATAAACTTAGGAGGTTAGGACAGTCTAATCAGAAAAGGAATGAATTCCCTAAGGTCAGAAGTGCCTTGCCAGATGTTTACTTGCAATCCACAGTGGGGCCAGGTTAAGGGCTCATGTCCTAATGCTGCGGAGGCTGGGCAAGGTGCTGATAACTTCTGAGCACGTATCGGGGGTATAATTGAACTGATAACAGTCTGATCCCTGGAGACGAGTCCTTTGGTATTTTTTTAGTCTTTTTCTTCTTTGTTTTACCCTTCTCTCTCTCCCCTTGTTTATGATATAAGAGTTTCCATCATGAACAGTGTGTGGGAGGTCTGAAATGCTAGTTCTTTGGTACCCTCATTTCTTCCTAGTCTACCCCCTCTTAGAGTGCTGCCCCAGTCATCCTGCATCCCTCCCAGAGTGTTAAGGGCCTGTTAGCTCCCGGAAATACCTGCTTATGGTTGGATATAGTGATGAAAGAACAAATGGGCTGCCAGGAGAGATGATCAGTCAATTCAATACAAATAGGTATCTATGAAAGAGTTATCTTTTGCTTACTGACCTTTGCCAGGCACCGGGGAGGCCAAGAAAGACAAAAGATAGCGCCTGTTCTCAAGGAGTTTCTGCCCCAGTAATCATGATCTATCCATTTGAAGCTTCTTTCTCATCTTTATAGTCCCACGGGGCAAAAATAGGAGTAAGAGGTAGAAGTAACAGAGAGGCAGATTCTAGACCAATTTTTAAAAATCTTGATAATTGAAAAAAAAATTTTGATAATTGGGTTGCCTTGGGACGCAGTGAGTTTCCTGTCACTGGAGGTCTTTAAACAGAGGCTGTATAACTCCTAGTTGGGCATATTGTGGACAAGGGCATTCCCACTCAGGAAAGGGTTGGACCTGCTTGTCTCTGAGCTGCTTTCCAACTCTGTGGTCTGGGATGTATCGGTCAAAATGTATGCTTCCTGAGAGCAGGGACTGCCTTTCTTTCTGCTTGTATTTGTTTTGTTAGTGCTTGGTACAGTGCCTGGCACATCAGAAGTGCTTAATAAATGCCTCTTGATCATGAGGCATATATATGCACACACACATACACACATATACACATACATATATGTATATGTATACATACATATATACATACGTAAGCATGTACATATAAACACATATACAGAGAGGTTCAAGTTTTGCCTCTGATGCATATCTACCATGTGACCTGGCCAAGTTTCTTAACTTTTCAGTGATCTAGGGAAATCTATGCCTTTAAGTTTCAGAGAAGGCATAGACTTACATTGTTGTTGTTCAGCAGAGATCAACCATATCACAGCGATGCTGTCCATGGGGTTTTCTTGGCAAAGATACTAGAGTGGTTTGCCATTTCCTTCTCCAGTGGGTTAAGTGACTTGCCCAGGATCACACAGCTAGTAAATCTCTGAGGCCAGATTTGAACTCAGGTTTTTCTGACTCCAGGCGCAGCGCTCTATCCACTGAGTCACCTAGCCACCCCAGATTTACATTAGTAGAGGCAATTTCTTTATGCAGACCTCTCCCCAAAATGATAAATTCCCAGGTCCAGTTTCTATTCAGTGTTTGGCTTTTAAAGCCTTTTAGAGACTAACTCCTTCCTACTTTTCTGGTGGTCTTATACTTTACTCCCCTTCATGTACAATGTGATCCAGACACACTAGCCTTCTTGAGGTTCCTTCCAACCCTCTTTCCCCACCTCTCTCTCTCTCTCTCTCTGTCTCTTTCTCCATGCCTTTCCACTGATTGTCCCTCATAGCTGGAATGCTTCCCCTACTTTCATATCCCTCCTGGTTTCCTTTAACATTAAGGTCAAATCTCACCTTCTGCAAGAGACCTTTCCTAGCCTTCTGCCTCCACCTCTTACACCTCACCTCTCCCCCTGAAGTGACTTCCCGTTGACTATCTTGTAACTTGTACATGCGTGTATCCATTTACATGGTGTCTCCATATTAGAATGTGAGTTTCTCGAAAGCAGACACTGTTTTTCCCTTTTTTGTATCCCCACTGCTTAGCACAGTGCCTCAAACAGTATAAGAGCTTAACCAATGCTTATTGACCAACTGAAAACTCCTATTAAACAAGTAATAATTAAACTACTCTATTAGTCTCTGTCTTCTTCAGCACTTTCGTGTTTTCATCTGTGCATTAAAAAATCATCCCATAAGGATTTTTTAAAGTGTAATTCCTATTTGGCCACCATCTCCTTCCTGCTCACAAGCAACTTATTTGTTCCTATTTCTGTGCCTTCACTTGGTCCTTTCTTTCTGGGCTCTGCTTTGTTCTGCAGAGTTTTAACACCTGGCTACCTCTCACCGTATTCACTGGCTTTTTATTTGCTTCCAATGGCTTTTCTTTGGTCTGGGTTTAGTGTTCCCCCCCACCCCCCGCCATACTTCAGGCTCTTTGAGGGTCACCTTTATCTTTGAAGCTGTCAATGGTGCAACTTACCTCCTAGGATGCCTGTGACTGAGGCCCAGCTCAGCAGCAGGACCAGCCAGTTTTTGGAAGCCATTCTCTTCTTCATCTCCCAGGTAGTCTCAATCACAGGCTCCTATTATGTCCTTGAAGCTTCTGAACAGCCCTAAGTCTGCAATGTAAGCATATTTGCTGAGATGGGAAGGAGCCAGTTTCTTTCAGGATTTTTCAGATCTCTAAAGGCAAGGAAGAATGTCATCTGCTTGTACCTGCTGAGCTAGAGAATCCCTTTCCTGAAGAATAGCAATTTCCCATTCAAAATTTCTTCATTTGTTCATCCACGCATTAATTTTTCATCCATTCAGCATACATTTCCATGCAAAGCAGCATGTTAGCTACTGAAGGGGACAGGTGCAGGAGGTAGATACTGGGATAAGTAACGCCTGAACTTTATTCTTAAGGAGTTCATAACCTAAGGAGGGGAGAGAAGACAGGCATGCAAAATAACTATAACGCTAAATAGAAATTAAATGCAGATATGCTGACTATGCACTTATGGTTTGCAAGAGGTGGTGGGGGTGGATTCTCCCTCAGTGGAGTCTTTTCAAGCAAAATTGGATGACCAATTGGTGGGAATGCTGGAGAGGGGATTCCTGTTCAGGCACAGCTTAAGTCTAGATGGTCTTCGAGATTCCTTTGCAACTTGGAGATGCTCTGATTCTGAGAGGTACAAACTGAATTCTTTCAGCATTCAGTGTAAAGAAAGACTTTGTGACTGGGTAGAATAGTTGGAATGAAAGAGGTAGCATTTTACCTGGGTCCTGAAGGATGGTAAGATTTTAACAGACTGAGATGAAAAGAGAAGGATATTTTAGATATGAGGAATGATGTGAGTAAGCCTACGTAACATGCAGGGTGGGACTAGCATAAGCCCTTTCTGTGAAATAGTGAGGAGTGCAGTTTGACAGCAGCATGAAAGACATGGGGAGCAATAGCATGTCTTCAGAGATAGCTTGAATCCAGGCTATGGGGAACATTGAATGCCAGGCTAAGGAGTTTGGATGTTATTCAATAGACAATAAGAATCCATTGAAGATCTTGAGTGGGAGAGCGATGGAAGAAGAGATGTGCATCTAGAGGGTTAATTCAGCTGTAGCTCAGGGTGGTGGACTGGAGGATATGTTTAAGAGAACACAAGATCAGAAGTGTGGCCATCTAAGCAGTAAGAGGAGAAAGGTTCAATAGACTTTGCAGAGATAGAATTAACAGGACTTGGTCATTCATTAGATGAGGGAGATTGGGAGAGGGAGGTCACAGATGAGAACAAGTCAATCTTGCATTTCCTAACTGATGTCCCAGACACTTGGCCTCTCAGTGTTAGAGACATGACCAAAGACCAAACTCTAGATTATAAAAATAAATCTCTTGGTATAGCCATGCTTAGGTTCTTTTTCTTCTCCATGGTAGATGTCTACTCTCCAGGTAGTCTCAAAACAACCAGTAGGGGGAGTGCAAAGACAACCCAAGGGACAATGATTTCCTAGAACTTGGAGAATCTTAACAATTCATCTTAGCATATTAGAGTGAAAAGGGATGTTGGAGATGATCTATCTAGACCAACCCTGCCATTTTATTGCTAAATGAAATAAGGCCCATGCAAGTTGAGTGACTTGACCAATTAATCAAGCTAGTTAGTGGCAGAGCTGAGACTAGAATGGAGTTTCCTGATTCCTGGGTTTATGTACTTTCTATATCTTATTGACTAGCTGAACTCTCATTCCCGCTTCTAGGAAAGAAGAATCCAGGGGCACTCCCTTACCCCAGCTTACAGAATAGTTCCCTTGGTGGACAGCTACAGCAAGTTCAATGTACTCTGTGTGTCCATATTCCATAAAACCACAGGTAAAAAACCCCTACCAGGGTGTTTATCATTAATAGTCAGCCAGATAACACATTGAGTTCAAAATGAAGGCATTCAGTGAAATATCACAGTAACAGAAACAGTAACAAAATATTTCCCCTATAATCCTCAGGCTTATAGTATAGCTCTCCCACAATTATACACAACATCAGTAGGACACACTTAGGCCACGTAGGTACAGGGGCACACACGCAAGACACAAGTATGACTAGGGCACATGTAGGTTACTCATATACTGCAACCCAATAACATCTCAGTACTGCAGGACTGATAAATTTCTTCTAGTGATGTCACTTGGCCCCATCCAAGTCTGCTTTTTGGGAGTCTTAGGGTCTGCCCAATTCTGCTCAGCTAGATACCAATTGGCCAGATTGTGTAATCTCTATTACTGTTCTGCAAGATGTTCCTTAGATGTATGCAATCTCTCTTGGTTACTGCTTGCTTCCCTTACCTCCTGCCTCTGCTGAAATCCTTGGCTATTCTTCCTCAAGCAAAGAATGAGTATTGACATAGTCTTTTAGCTTAATGACCCTAGGCTTCTTTTTCCTTCTAATTATAGTCCTTTTAAAAAAAAAGTAATAAATTCTTGCTTAAGACCAGCAAAAACACATCCCCTTAAGTTCTCTTGTCTTGTTTCCTCTGAGTCTTGGCTTTGAAGCCTCTCATCTTGACAGCAAGAGATTCTCAATCATATGCACAAAGAGGTTTCTCCATTTTAGCTTCCAACAATCTTTTCATTGGAGTAAACTTCCTGGTCATTGGACTTGGGGTCTCCATGCTGGCTACCTTCCCTTCCTGCTCTCCCCACTCCCTACTTTCAGCTTCCTTTCATATCTTGTTTTCTCCCCATTAGACTGTAAGCTTATGGATGTCGCTAGACTTTCTTTGTGTCCTCAGCACTTAGAATAGTGCCTAACACACAGTGGATACTTAATAAATGTTTGTTGACTGCCTGTACCATCCTGTTCATGTCTTGTTTCCTAATCTGGGTGCCCCTCAAGGTTCTGTCCTGGAACCTCTTCTCTCCACACTCCATTAGTCATCTCTTTGGATTCCATGGCTTCAATTATCATCTCCATACAGATACCTCCCTAATCTATATTTCTATCCCCAATTTGTTTTATGAAGTTCTACATTGTCAAATGTCTACTGAACATCTCTACTTGGGCATCCTATTGACGTGTCAAACTCAACAAAGGAACAACCTATCTCTCTAAATAAATCCTTCCTCAAAACTTTGCTATTTCTGTTGAGGGTATTACTATATTTTTTAATTACCCAGGTTTCCAACCTGGGTTGAGTCTTCCTTTTCTCTCATCCACCATATCCAATCAGTTGCGAGCTTTGCTCATGTGTTCTTTTATATTTCTCATGTACCATCTTCTCATGCCTCTGTCTCTAAAAATTCTTAGCTTGCTTAACTGTTCAGATTAGGTGTCACCTCCTCCAGAAATAATTTGGCATTTATTTTAAATAAATATATGCCAGGGACTGATGCCTTCCCACCCCCAGAATTCTCTCTTTTTCCCAAATCACTTCTGTGTATATTTGGATATATATATTGTGTCTTTCCTGAAACAGGTAAGACTCCTTAGAGGCCAGAATTATTTCATATATGCTATTGTATCCCCAGTGCCTAGTATATGATAGCTCCTTAATAAATATTTGTTGAATTTGAGAGAAATTGAATTTGAGAGAAACTTTTTATTATATTAATAACCAATTATTAAAATAGGATTAAGGCTTTTTCTCTCTATTTCTTCATTCAGGGATCTGCTCTGGAAAGTCAGCAAATCCCTGAAGGATATTGCTGATATTTGAGATTGCCCAAATCCTCCTGGAACATGCTTCTCAGATCTTGGGCAGGATCCCATCCAACTAGAAGACCTTACTTCTGTTTAGAGGATAAACAGAATCTAATCTAGGTGAATTCCAGCCCTTAAGCATTAAGTCTACTCCTTGTACCTCTCCATTGGAATTTAGGGTAACCCAGCTCATGAAGGAGAAAACCAACTAGAATGGTCTGGGTAGAGATGGATTCCTTTTTCCAGATTGATGGAGGTGTCTGAGTCTCATGATTAAGCCACATTCTGAGCAGGAGGAGCTAAAGGCTTTCAGCCCACCTTCTGATTTGAAGGTTCACTCCCCCTCATTAATTGTTCAGCAGTCAGAATTGATTTTCACCTGTCAGGGGCACCCTCTTATCTAAAGGTATATTAAGGCATTCAGTATCTCCATTAGGTGAAACCACTAACCATCAATTTATTGATTACCAGCTAGCCTAATTAATAAGTTGATTATTAATTACCCAGAAACTGCCTCCCCAGCTTTTCATTCATCTCAGCTGAATTGATGTGAAACTCAGATCTAGGTATACTTGTTTCTGGCAGACACTGATGTCCTTTCATGGGGGAAATGAAAAGTTTCCAGAAACTGTTGCTCAGAGGATAACACAATGAAGGGCCTCATATCACACAAGAGGGGATGATAGTAAAATATTACTGTAGTGTAAATGGAGGAGGGAGTTATTATTCAAATGCCTAGGCTTGAGCCCCAGGTTACAGAGTAGAATGCCATGTATCATACATATGCCACAGAATATTGTAATCTGCATTCTGTCAACTTGGGAGATAAATTAATTCTTACAGCTCCAGATTCTCACCATCAGTTAGAACTTATGTTAGTCTGCAAAAACTCCCTTGCACTGAATTCAGGCTGTAGAACGTTTCCCACACAGTCCCCACAAAGAAAAGAGGAGACTCTATTCCAAAATAGAAACAAAACTGTCCACTCTAGAAAATAATCTCTAGCTCACACGCTAACCTTCAGAATGTGTGAACAGCTGTTGAAGTAGCACAAAAGGAGTAGCTGTTGATCTCATAGTGCATGGGGGTTACCTGTGTGGTATCAAAGGCTCCGCTGGTCCTCTCCTTAGAAACCTCTTGAAGTTGGAAAGTGTGTGCCATTCACTGATTCTTATATGCTTTCGGCTCCAGGTGTAATCATCTTTATTTTACTCAGAAAGCAGTAAACCTGTTTATAATTAACAAAAAATCCATAAAAATCTTATCTAATGCTTTTTCTGGGCATCCTGAGAGAAGACTGATGATTAATTTTTATAAGCCTTGTCTATGTCAGACAGAGGAAGAGTCACTCCTACTTTGCAAACAGGGCTG